GTATATATGCCAATGTATGTGTGTTTGATGTATATGTGGTATATGAGTATTTGGTAGAAGTATATATATGATATTATTATCTATATATATGTGAAATTATATGTGTTTGTTATAAGTAGGATGTTATTGTGCGTGTATGTGAATGTATGTCTGTTTGTTGTAAATGTGGTATATGAATGTGAAATTTGTGTATTTGGTATAAATAGGATGTTATTATCTATATATGTGAAATTATGTGTATTTGGTTTAAGTAGGATGTTATTTTGTGTGCATGTGAATGTATTTGTATTTGGTGTATATGTGGTATATGTATGTGTTTCCCCTGCAATACAGGACACCGTATTACAACATTTAGCGGTAATTATTTATTAAAATATATTTTATATGGTTAACTATAATTGTTTTTTACTTGGTTAACTTTTTTTTGTAGACAAAGTTTCATTTGGATCAGATGTACCAGGATGTACAAGCTAATATGTTGACAGAGAGTTTTCAAGCAGCTTTGTTAAAAGGTTATCGAGAACGTAAAGCTGACGCAAAAGAATATTTTATGTTAGTCGGAGGGTATGAAGATATCACGGGAGCATTAGCCAACCCTCCAGAGGGTATGGAAGTTGATAACTGGATGAAAGCAGTTGAATATTTCCAAACAGACGAACACAGAATTGCTTCAGAAAGGAACAAAAAAATCCGTGAAATGCAAACAAATGTGAATCGTGGGGGTCGAGCTCGTATAGCAGTACTTGCTATAAGAAGGTAACGTACGATACATGTAATTATTTATTTAAAATATAATCTAATTTTTAAAGTTAAACAGAACCTTAAGAGAGTGGAAACATTTTGCAAAGCTCATACCGATAAGAATGGTGTATTTGTTAATGTTGAGGTGGAACAACAATATGTAAGTATTTAATTATAATTTTATCATATAATTAAATGTTTATTTATACTTAATTGTTACTCACTTTTGGGAGATACAGAATCGGTTAGTTGAAGAGCTGTTAGAACAAAATCAAGGTGAAAGTGAGTTAACACCCGCTCAAGAAAGAGTTGCGTTTGAGAAAGTATTAGGAGAGTGACGTGGCCATATTAGAGACATTGGTCGTAAACCTTCTGCTCTCCCGCCGATTCCACAGCCTTCGCAACCATCACCACAACCATCACAAC